CAAAAAAAAAAAAAAAAAAAAAACCCTTCTTGAACGCTAAACAAATTTAAAGCAGAGAAATAAATACTGAAGGAAGTCACGGTTAATTGTAGTTAAGTTAAACGTAATACTAAACAACCAGTTATTTAACCAAATTACGCAGCACAGACATAGACTGAAGACTGAATGTAAAAAAATAATGCTGAAGGTAAAGGCAACAGTCTGCATAACTGAAAGTTTTGTTTCCATCTTATGCTCCCGCTTCCTTCATCGTTTTAAAAGGGATTATTAAAAATTGACTTTTATAACTCCCCCTGTCCCCCCCGCCCCCCGTTTAGTTTGAACTCCCAAATGGCCTCTTCCGTCCTGTTCCTTCCTCCTCAGTTTACACTGAACTTACACGTTTGGAAGCCTCCATGCCCCTGTTCAGAAACTAGTTCCTCTTAATAGGCAGGCCCTGTTAAAAGCCCCAGCGCCCTTTCTGAAACCGTCCCACCAGGGTGCAAAAGCCGGAGACTGCACTGGGGGCAACTGGGCGGTGGGGCTTCTCCAAAGAACCAAGAAAGGCCTCTGAGCTCTACGTAGGTACCACAGAGGTATCTGCAACTTTGCACCTTACAAAAAACATCCTACGAGCAGGTGCCAAAAGGCAGTTTGTTCACACGAGAAAAGAAGGGAAGGAGACAATGCAACTGAAATCAGAATAATTAACCCAGCTTTGTATTTCCCGAAAGCTAACGTTGGACAGAGAAGGCAGCGCAGTCTCTTTCGGTCTTGCCAAATCAGAGGCTTTGCTCTTCTGGTAACGCTCTACGGCTTGCCGTGGGCGTCGTCTTCTACCCTGCGCGTCCCTTGCTCGCAAATCCAAATGCCGTTCTTACCCCCATTTCCATTCATTTGACAAGTGCAATATTTAAACTTTTTTTTTTTTTTAAAGGAACAGACCTAACAAATTTGTACCCAGCTTTCTAGCTGCTGTTTAAGAACTACAGGAATATGGCAGGGTCATTTGGGCTCTTTAACCCTTTCCTTCTATGCAATGAAGACACTGATGTTCTTTTGTGCTTGTGAAGCTAACAGATCATCTTCACGAGACAGGCAG